CCGTTAGGTCTTTAATGGCTGGTTTTTCAGAAGTAGATCACAAAGCATCTCTTCCCAGGTACCTCTAGATGGGTAAGCCTTGGATATCCTATACAGTGTTGTTATGAGTCAGAACTGACTCCAAGGCACTTAACAACAATGTGCTAGAGAGCATATCTTTATAAAACTGAGAAACAGTAGTCTGGGGAAAGTAACAAGAACGGTGGCTTTTACCTGAATGTACTCTTCCGTTTCTTTCACTAGGAGAGGGGGGACTTTCTGGAATGGTTCCAGGTAAACTTCCCACCTGGGTCTGTTTCTCTAGGTCTCCCCCACTGTCCACAGTGTCCCTGGGCAGTGCAGCTTCAGTTTGGTCTGTGCAGCTGTCCTTGGGATGAGTCTCAGCAACCGCATCCTGTGAGAGAAAGGATTTCTTAGAAAGTGGGTCTTGGGAGTGAAAGCAATGCTGTATAGTGTGCTACAAGAAATGTTGTGAGGATTTAACCAACAGGCATCTCTGTTGGCTGATTAATGGTCCCTATGATCTCCACGTTTCAGTCTCGGAACCTGTAGGTATTGCTCTATGTAGCACAAGGGACTTTACAGACTGACTCAGTTAAGGATCTTGCGATGGGAGAGGATGCTGGGTGATCCAGGTGGGCCTGAGATGTGGTCACAAGTGCACGTATTGAAGGGAAATGGGGAGATGTGAATGCTGAAAAGGAGAAGCTAATATGACCATGGAAGCAGAGACAGAGTTAAACACGCTGTCTCTGAAGATCAAGGAAGGGGCCATGAACTAAGAAATAAAGCAGTAAAGCTCTAACCCACTACCATGGAGAAGACCCTGATTCATAGGGACCCGCCCTATAGGATAGAGGAAACTTGCCCCAATCTTGACAATCTTTACAGAAGCAGACTGCCTCATCTTTCTCCTGTGGAGCAGCTGGTAGGTTCGAACTGCCAACATTTTGGTTAGCAGTCAATGTTTAATCCACTGCACCTGCACCAGGGTTCCTTAATGTATTTCGCGTTGCTGTTAAGCGCTGTTGAGTCGATTCTGACTCACAGTGACCCTGTAGAGGGTTTCCAAGGAGCGGGTGATGGGTTTGAACTGCTTGCTGATCCTGTGGTTTGCAGTCCAGTGTTGATCCTACAGCGCCACATCTTTTTTTTTTTAAGTTTTTATTGTGAATTGTGTGAGTTTATATGAAAGAACACCAGCTTTACATTCATCCTATCATATTTCGTTTCATTGCAATGATTACAATCCCCTCAATGAATCATCAAATAACCAAAGGCCTGCCCTCCCTGTCCCCCACCCCTGGCCATCAGCACACAGCCCTTCCGTCCCTGAGTCCAGAGTCCCCAGACACTCCATCTGTCCACGACATCATTTATGGCGTCACTGCTTCTCTGGGTAGGGTCCCACTCTCCGCACTGCACTCTTCTTACAGCGCCACACTTACACGAGCATGAAAAGGCAAGGAAAAGGCTCCTCTCCTCAGAACTTCCTGAAGGAATGAACCCTGAGAACATGGACTTAAAAGTGTTAAGTTAAAACCAGTGAATCTGATTTCATGCTCGTGGCCTCTGTATCTGTGAGAGAACAAATTGTGTGGGTTTAAGGCGCTAACACAGCAGCAATGAGAAACTAACACAGTTCTAGTTTGAATCTACCATTAACAAGCTACTCTACTGAGCATGCTGGAGAACACCAGGATGAGCAAGTTCATAATTTCCAAGTGTCAAAAATAGAGCTATTGCTGGATTGGAAAAAAAAAGAAAAGAAAAGAAAAGAAAAGAAAAAGGAAACAAAAGGAAAAGCTTTTCAAGTTAAAAGAAAGAAAAACAATATTTGTATTGTTTTTTCTGAATATAAAAGAAATGGAGACTCACTGTGAATAAAAAATAATACAAAAGGAAATGGAATAAAATATTAGATGTACCATCCCCTAGAAAAAAGAACTATTAACATGTAAAGTATATGACTTCCTGGAGTACTGGTATGGCTCTGCGGGTTAATGGGCTAGACTGCAAGGGCTGTTTGAACCACAAGGTCAGAGGTTCAAGCTCACCAGCCACTCCTCACAAACCCTATGCAGAGTCGCTATGAGTTGGAAACGACTTGACTATACTTCACAACAACAACATATAACTTCCTACATGTTTGTTTATATAAATATATAATCTTTAAAAATAAATGAGAATTAGTCTATAAGCACATGAAAACATGCTCGATGTCATTAGTCATTAGGGACATGCAGGCCCAAAACCACAATAATATACCACACAGGATGGTTATGGTAAATGTGACAATCACAAATGTTGGCGAGGATGTGGATAACCAGACCCACCATATGTTAGGAGAATGTGAGATGGTACAGCTTCTTTGGAAGACATTCTGGGAGTTTCTCAAAAATTTAAACACTGTATTACCATGTTGTTGTTATTGTTGTTGTTAAGTGCCCTCAAATTGGTTCCGACTCATAGCAACCCTGAAAAGCGTTTCCAAACAGCCACTGGTGGGTTTGAACTGCTGACCTTATGATTCGCAGTCCAGTGCTGATGAGAATTCTACCACTGAAACCAAGGTACTTAACAACAACAGTAATACTAATAAATATTATTCACGATGTACAAAAGACAACAGTAATACTAATA